AGGAAGAACATTCATTTTTACAGCTGAAATTCTTCCCAACAGAGATAATTGCAATTTTTTCCAATCATTTAAATCCTTTTGTACCTTAGCCCATAAAGCTTCATAATTATTCTTATACAATTTTGTGTTAGAGGCTGTAATATAAACCCCCAAATATTTTACCTTTTTAACCATTTCAAAACCTGTAAGTGTAACTAACATATCTTTATCCTCCTTAAACATATTTTTCGATAATATCTTAGTCTTATTAGAATTTACCTTAAAACCAGAAACTTTCCCATATTGTGCAATAATTTCAACCACCTCAGTTACCGAATCTGTCGGCTGAGTTAGTGTTAACACTAGGTCGTCTGCAAAAGCTCTTAATCTATAATCAATCTTATTAACCTTAATTCCTGTTATTACAGAGGATTCACGAATTTTAATTAACAAAATCTCCATTGTTAACACAAATAACAATGGGGATAAAGGACATCCTTGTCTAGTTCCTTTTTCAATTTTAAATGCTTCCGTTACCCCCCTATTAACTATAATCTGTGCTGACTGCTGTTGATAAATGGCCTTAAGAGCAGAAAAAAAATTTTCCCCAAAATTCATTCTATCTATAACCTGAAACAAAAAACCCCGATCTAATTGATCAAATGCTTTTTCAGCATCTAAAAATATAAAAGCAGCCGGAATTTGATTATTCCTATCCAAATATTCCAATAAGTTGGTAATCTGTCTTACATTATACTTCATGTATCTTCCAGTTATAAATCCAGATTGATCACTATGAATCATTTGGCACAACACTTGCATTAATCTATTTGCCAATACTTTAGAAAAAATCTTGTAATCTATATTCAATAAAGATATAGGTCTGTAATTCTAAGGTTGCGTCAAATCCTGACCCTCCTTTGGTATTAAAGCTATAAAAGCAGTCCTCCAAGTAGAAGGTACCTCCTTGCCCAGCAATATACTGTTAAACAGTTCCTGTAAAGGTTCTATCATTTCTTCCATTAGTGTCTTATAATAAACTGCTGTAAATCCATCTGTACCTGGCGCTTTA